TCTCTCTCTCTCTCTCTCTCTCTCCCCGTATACGCTATTGTAATATCAAGTCTCTGGTCTACCCTTTGTTTGATTGTGAAACCATATGTTTTAAATGGTTGAATACATGTTAATAATAATAATAATAAGTTTTTCTATAGTCTCTTCCAGTTGTGTAACCCTTTCATACAATACAAACCCATTATTACTTTTTGTTAAGTTTTTTCTCCATTTATATGCAAATAAAATATGAAATATTATAAGAAATACATTGAAAAAGAAGTGAAACGGAAATGTTTTTCACACAAATAGGAAGCGATTCCCTGAATGAGAGGTATTTAAGTGCCGAAAGGTTTTACGAATCAATCAATGAGTTTAGATATTTCTGTGTTAATGCATTGAAAAAGCACTTGTTTTTCACGGTATTCATTGTCAACACTGTATTACTTGTGAATATTTTGTTTCAATTTTCTAACATAATTGTGTTTTTGTTTTTGCTTCTCTCTCTCTCTCTCTCTAGTTGTTAATGCCTTTCGGGCATCGTCTCTCTCTCTCTCTCTCTCTCTCACTCTCTCACTCTCATCGTAAAAACGATTAGAATATTAGTGTTAATAACATTAAGCATTCATTAGGTTTGCGTCCTTTTGGTATATATTTCAAACTTAATGTTATGAGAAAATTGTGAAATATTTTCACTTTCATTAATACATTAATAAAAATTGATGTTAAGACCACTTCCGCATAGGTTTTCGTAGATAATTGTAATCGCCATCAAAAACAAGTGCACATCACTTGTGTTAACCTCGAAATTAAATATACAATTCATTACACGGTTTGCGCTTTCCTTCTGATAAGAAAGAGAGAGAAAATTGTAATTTTTTAGATAAATAAATGAAAACAACATTTGCTTCCAAACGATGCCCGAAAGGCATTAACAACTAGAGAGAGAGAGAGAGAGAGAGAGAATGCGAGACTAGGGCTGACACCATCACCAGTGAAAGTGATATCCAGTTCTCGAGAGTTAACGACAATTGAGGTCAGGACTCAAATTGTGTTATGTTTTTGGTATATATCATATCAAATACATATTAAACACAACAACTCCTCTCACTTTTACCATAATATAAATATATATTCAAAAAAGAGAGAAAAACAACTTATTAATCGACTGCAAAACTAAAACACTCGGAACTAAAACTAAAACAATTTTTCATTGCATTTCCTATCAAATCCTTGTGCTCTCAAACACGTATAGTCTGTGTTTCGCACATGTCTTAAGAGAGTCAATAGTTTGAGATCCGAAGTATAGGTTCTGAAAAGTTTTAATAAAACAATTTTTCATTGCATTTCCTATCAAATCCTTGTGCTCTCAAACACGTATAGTCTGTGTTTCGCACATGTCTTAAGAGAGTCAATAGTTTAAGATCCGAAGTATAGGTTCTGAAAAGTTTTAACGCGTTGTCGAGAAATTGTTTGTGAATTTTAATCTACATTTTAATTGATTGCCAAATATAACGAGTGTCCGGATTGTCACTAACTATTGTTTAATCTGTTGTAAATGTTTGTCATTTGTATGCCATTGAAGAAGACATGTCTGAAAGGGTACTCGGTGTCTGCGTCAGTAGCCCTCATGACTGTGTGGCCCTGCACAGCAGCGTCAGTAGCGAAGGCACAGCTCGCCGTCTTGTGCGCCTTGTCTAGCGGTTCTTCAATGAGCTTCTCCGTCTAAATGTGGAAAATGTTATGCGAAAAGCCATATGCAATGCATGGAATGTAAGCATACACTTAATTATCATTAAATTGTTTCATTTATTTACCATCTGTTCTTTGATAACTGATTTTGTTTGCAATTTTATGATGAGTTTTGACATTTGTTTTAAATATTTTAATATGCAATTGAAAATTGTGTTTAAAACAGATTTATTTGTCTGTTTTTTAAAATTTACACAATTTAAAAACTTAACAATAATTTATTTATTAATACACGAAATCCTTTGGATCAGTAGTGGTTTGCAGTTTGCAGTAATGGTGTATTAGTTTAGTATTTTGTATTTATTTAGATTCAATTGAGTTATTAATTGAAGTGAGGTAAGATTTAACCTATTATGGCTGCCCTAAAACAAACCAACACATACCAACATATATATATATATATTCTAATACAGAATAAAAAACAGAATATTTTTGCCCATTAACCCCCCTCCCCGCCCACAAGTGATAATAAATGTATTGAATGTTATGAATGAATGCACGCGACTATTATCGGCCGTGTATTTGAATACCGATTACTAATTAATTGATTATAATTTGAATTGTACTATAAGTTAATAGTTTTCTGAACGCATGTCCCATATATTTGATTAGATTTGTGTTTTTAAACCCATTTTATTTTATAATAGTCTAATATACAGACCAATTGATGATTAAAACAAATCATTAATGAATTTATAAATCATAAAATTTTAATTCAAATCTAAATTATGGCAAACGGTTACGATTTTAACTCTAATCTAATCGATAGTACTGTCAAACCAATTGACGACAATTATGAATTCCTTTACGCCAACCGTCCAAACGTAGGAATGTATCCAAAGGGTAGTCCTTATTGTCAGACAACACAAACTCAGAGAAATAAAATCCAGGAATCCTTTCAAATGAACTCTTTTTGATCGGCAATTGATGTGAAGAATCCTGAATATGTGCCACACTTTCGGTCCAATTCTTGAATAACAAATAATGTTTCCAATTCCCTAACATTTGCGGACCAATTGTCACGTTAGATGTGATGCCCTTTAGATTTACAAATTCATAATTTAGTAAATTTAAGCATTTGGGTTCGTAAATTTACAATTTGTAAAATTTATAGAAATGTTACAAATTCTGGCATTAATTAAATGCAAAAAAAAACCTTTGATTCTCCGAAAACATTTCCAGTACAAAGTCTTCCCTGATTTTCGACCAACAAATCCAGTTGTGATCCAAACTCTATATCCAATCCTATTGTAAATAGATTTCGAGTCCGACTCAAAGTTCCCGCATATTTCTGCAAATTTATCAATTAATAAATTAGAACTTGTTTTGCTTTTTAAACAAGTATTTACTTTATTAACAAACACTTGAGCCCTATCTTTGAGTCCATTAACCGTCAAAACTGCCGGATCTGAAGGAATGAATGTAATGTTTGTGGAGTAGAGTATAAACCCGTCTCTAACTCGTAATTCTTCGAAAGTCAGGGGAAGTGTCGACTCAATGGGTGTTTGAGATTTGATAATATCGTATATATTGAGCACTGGTTTCATAACAATGGGTTTGGTCTCCATTTTAGGCGCCGGTGCCGGTAATGTGCCGTTAGGGAGGGGTAAGTACTAAACATGATTACACTTTATAGTCATTTTCAGCGATTTAAACCATAATAATAAAAATGCTTCACTTTTCCGATAACATTGCGGACATCGAAGTACTTCTGTGTCGGGTCTCCGGCTTCGGTAAGCGGAGCATCAAAATCATAACTAGTAATGCATGGGATATACTGTCCGTTATCGCCCTGATTAGCGCCGGAGCCAAATCCAAAGCTTGTGCCCCCGCAAAGTGGATAACTATAGAGATTACTTAGTAATTGCAATCAAACGAACAATAATTTTGCTGTTAAATACAGATTGAGAGAAGCATTAAAGGCCAACATCTTATCCAAAGAATCGACTGTTTGGGCCGAACTAACTGTTGAGTGGGGCTCTTCCCAGTGGTCTATCCAACCCGTGTTAACAAGTATTTACTTTATTAACAAACACTTGAGCCCTATCTTTGAGTCCATTAACCGTCAAAACTGCCGGATCTGAAGGAATGAATGTAATGTTTGTGGAGTAGAGTATAAACCCGTCTCTAACTCGCAATTCTTCAAAAGTCTTCGGAAGTGTCGACTCAATGGGTGTTTGAGATTTGATAATATCGTATATATTCAGCACTGGTTTCATAACAATGGGTTTGGTCTCCATTTTAGGCGCCGGTGCCGGTAATGTGCCGTTAGGGAGGGGTAAGTACTAAACATGATTACACTTTATAGTCATTTTCAGCGATTTAAACTATAATAATAAAAATGCTTCACTTTTCCAATAACATTGCGGACATCGAAGTACTTCTGTGTCGGGTCTCCGGCTTCGGTAAGCGGAGCATCAAAATCATAACTAGTAATGCATGGGATATACTGTCCGTTATTGCCCTGATTAGCGCCGGAGCCAAATCCAAAGTTGGTGCCCCCGCAAAGTGGATAACTATAGAGATTACTTAGTAATTGCAATCAAACGAAAAATAATTTTGCTGTTAAATACAGATTGAGAGAAGCATTAAAGGCCAACATCTTATCCAAAGAATCGACTGTTTGGGCCGAACTAACTGTTGAGTGGGGCTCTTCCCAGTGGTCTATCCAACCCGTGTNAACTATAGAGATTACTTAGTAATTGCAATCAAACGAAAAATAATTTTGCTGTTAAATACAGATTGAGAGAAGCATTAAAGGCCAACATCTTATCCAAAGAATCGACTGTTTGGGCCGAACTAACTGTTGAGTGGGGCTCTTCCCAGTGGTCTATCCAACCCGTGTAGAACTCGGAGTTGACGTACGGACCGAACTGTTGGTGCGCGCGTTGGGCCGCAAACGATTGGACAACATTATTATTAAGGCCGGACCCAAAGTCAACGGTTGCGAACACGCCGTCTATTTTGCCGCACTTTAGAAAGTAGTCGGCGTTTCCGTCGGTAGTAAAGAGTTGGACTTCACGGCCAAAGTGTTTGATATGAAAGTCCCTCAAATGGTCGACGTATGCAAAATCACAGGCGTAATAACTTCCGTATTCATTTTCTATCTGAACCATAATAACGGGTCCGCCGTTTATGTATAACATGGGCGCCAACTTTGGCAACAATAGTGAAAACCATTTGTCCACAGCTGATAGATATGTCGGATCAGATGTCCTTAATTTCATGTTTGGATTCTTAGACAACAGCCAATACGGAAGTCCTCCCTATTTATTGCCATTAAATCATTGAAAGGAATTTAATTTTATTTATAAGACTTAAAAAATAATACCAAATCCCTTTCGGCATTGATATACGGACCGGTTCTCAGGTTAACCAAAAGTCCCAATTCGTGAGCCGTTTGCAGGTATTTAATGATATCGTAGTCGCCATCAAAGCGAAAGACTCCTTCTTCGGGCTCATGAAATGTCCACTCAATATAACTATTATAATACAAGACAAACCATAGTCTATACATCTGTTCTTTTGAATAAATGTTTAACATTACGGAAATACGTTTGTATGACATTAAGTCCCGCCATCTTATACTTGACCATCCGATCCAACCAAAGAACTGCCGGCACTTT